TATTAAGATTTAACAAAATCGGAGAAATTCTATTACAATCGGTTCAGCCATCCCGAAAATTAGCCCGGACAGGTAGACAGACAGACCAAAACTTTAAAAATGGCTATTTATGTCTTAACAACATTCATATAACACCCTATTTTACTTACCGATACCTACTTCAATTTTATTGATATGTATAGATAATATGGATGTGACCAGCGGATCAACTTGTTATTTTTATAATAACCTTCATATTCATATTATCATAAAAGTCAATATAGTAATTTTGGCCATTATTGTATAAGATTTTATATTTGGTATAGTTTATCATAGCCGAAATAGCTCAGTTGGGAGAGCGTTAGACTGAAGATCTAAAGGTCCCTGGTTCAATCCCGGGTTTCGGCATGTATAGTAAATTTTTATTAGTAATAGAAAAAATAATAAACACTACATACAGGTACGTATTAATTTTATTAGAAATTAAAATAAATTTTCTAATACTAAAAAGTTTAACTTTTGAAGTATTTGAAATTTTCGTTTTAAAACTTATCTAAATAATTACTCAAACTCACACGCCTGTACACGACCTCCGCTTGGCACGATCTTGACACACCTCTTTCGTCTCCTTAAATCTACGCATCCATACTCATCTCAATATTTAGTCAATTTGGTCGATAAACTTACGTTTAGAGCGGTTCTTGGCGACTCAGCCACTTCAGCTTTATAAATTTGCTTTTTTTTTCTGCTTAGTCTTTCCTCATTCATTTATTTTCAAACCACATTGAAACATAGTTTAGATTAACTTACATTACAGAAATCGACGACTCCTCCTCCCTCTTCCGTAGATTGCTTCATGGGGAGAATATTTGTCATAGTTTAATAGTTTTCCTTAGATAGACGGTTGGGAACCGCCATTTTGGATTGCTTTTAGGAAGATGTTGTTGCCCGTCTCCTGTTTCGATCCCTCTGTCTTAAGACACCTATGAGACAATATGGGGCAGTGGACACTCTGCCGTCGCTACTACACGCCGGTGGTACAATTGAGATTTAGGTATCCATTTGAAAAAGCCAAACATAAAATTTCAGAAGACTGGGGTACGACATAACAATTCGAGGTCGTCAGTTCATCACTCACCAACCCGCCAAGAAAGCCGTAATATAGACAAATTTTAAATATAATAAATACTTATTTATCTTCACGCACAATCCCTGACGGGGTAGCCAGAGAGAACAGATCGCTAAATGTCACGATCCTTACATACCTCTTTCATGAGTGAAGACCGAATGGTGAAGAAAATATATAGCGCGAAAGTAAATATTAAAAGGTGTCGAGGTAGACCGAGACTAACTTTCGAAGACCATGTGAGCAAATTGCTCGAAGAGGGTAGGGTCAAGAGTACTCGGATACCTAGACGTGCATGTATGAAGAAGATAATGAATCTGAAAGAAGCGAAAGAGGTATGTAAGGATCGTGACACTTGGCGATCTGTTCTCTCTGGCTACCCCGTCAGGGATTGTGCGTGAAGATAAGTAAGTAAGTAAATATTAAAAGGTGTCGAGGTAGACCGATACTAACTTTCGAAGACCATGTGAGGAAATTGCTCGAAGAGGGGAGGGTCAAGAGTACTCGGAGACGTGCATGTATGAAGAAGATAATGAATCTGAAAGAAGCGAAAGAGGTATATAATAAATGCATTCCATTTAGTGCGTTCTTGAAAAGGGTCTACCACCAATGAGCTAAATAAAGTTATTAAACGAATAAATCTTTACATCTAAAAGCAACAACGACGCATCTGCATTTCGATTCTTAAGCGAGTATAGATGAAGATGATTATGGGCCACAACATCTACTTACCACCAAGTGCAATCTGTGCTCGTTTGTCAGCTTATTCGATGAAAAATGGTTTTAATCAGTATACATCTTAAACACATTACAATATATCTATAATAATCTGTCTACTCGACCGAGCAAGACACAGAATACCAGCGTAAAAAAGAAACCTAAAGATGATATTATATTGTCTTGCGTATTGATTGGTGTTTCGATCCCCGGGAACCAATGAAATTGTGAATACGCATTTAAAGAAAGACCCTACTTACTAATAACAAGACTAATGTTGAAATACTCAAACGGTGTTCAATTTTAAGATGCTGTTACATCTCGTGCTGTCTCTATCACTTTAAATCAAAGTGACTGTGACACCACGAGACTTAACGAAATCTCAAAACTGAGTAGCGTTTGAATAGTTGGCTTTATGATATCACGTAAGATCGAATTGAGAACCTCCTCATTTTTCTATGTCGGCTAAAAATCTTGACATGAAGATAGAGTATCATGTACATGCAGGTAAAGACAAGTGAATTGTATATTAATTGCATACTATGTCGCTGTTTAATTTTGGTAATGTAATAAGTATTTTATAAATACTACATACGAATATGTTGTTAAGTACAAGTGCCGAGGAACAAGTTCGAATGTCGTAATCCGCAAAAAAACAATGTTTTTTGCATTCATTATACGGAAACCAGCAACATAAAATTGATATTTTCGCTCATAATGCCATCTCCCGTATGGTCTAGTGGCTAGGATACCTGGCTTTCACCCAGGAGGCTCGGGTTCGATTCCCGGTACGGGGATTGCCTTTTTAAAAGGTTAAGTGTGGTATTTTTTATTTCTTTTTATAAGCTCCGCTGCTATTCAAAACTTGTTAAAATAATTATAAAAAATTATCCTTCGATTTCCTTACGCATCTTCAACTAGTTATCCGACTGCCAGTAACAAACTTTTAAATATTTTGTATTTCACTTTATTGCGCAGTTGATAATATTTTTTTTTATATAGGAGATGCAAACGAGCATGCGGCTCACCTGATGGTAAGTGACTACCGCCGCCCATGAACAACTGCAACACCAGGGGAACCAGGGAGATTGCAGATGTGTTGCCGGCCTTTTAAAAAGGAGTAGGCTCTTTTCTTGAAGGTCCCTAAGACGTATCGGTCCGGAAAAATCGCTGATGGTAATCGATTCCACAAGGAAGTCGTGCGAGGAAGAGAACATCTTCTAAATCGCACAGTGGTGGACCGCCAATCATCCAGATGGTGTGGATGGTATCGAGAGTTCTGCCGCGATGTGCGTTCGTGAAATTTGCCGGCTGGGATTAATCCGAACAATTTCTCAGAGCACTCCCCGTGGTAAATGCGAAAGAAAATGCAAAGGGATGCAACATCTCTTCGCAGTGCCAATGAATCGAGCCGATCGGAAAGGACTCGGTCGTCGACGGTTCGAGCCGCTCTGCGCTGGATGCGGTCAAGTGGAAGGAGGTGGCACTGGGGAGTCCCTGCCCAGAGATGGGAACAGTATTCCATGTGAGGCCGAACCTGCGCCTTGTAAAGTTGCAGGCGGTGTGCCGACATGAAATACTGTCGCGCTTTGCTGAGCATGCCAAGCATTTTAGAGGCCAATTTGGCCTTCTCTTCCAAGTGACCACGAAACTGCACGTCACTCGATATGTCGACTCCAAGGATTCCGATTCTGGCTGAGGCAAGAAGGGGAGTGCCTTGAAACTGAGGAGATACGACAAAAGGGTTCTTTTTAGCGGTAAACGCGCAAGCTTGTGTCTTCTGAGGGTTAAACTGGACTAGATTTAGTCGCCCCTAATCCGATACTTACAATATGTTGATAAGACAGTGCCTTACGTAATCGTATCGGTTTATTTTTTAATGTTAATGATGTTTATAGATTTATACCTGATAACTTACAAATGTATAACAGTGTCATAATGTAGGATCCTTCAGTACGTTATCAATATTATTGAATAAATTATTGATATTTTTTTTATTTAATAACATCTTACATCTGATGAAGGCATTCAATCACTAGAATTTAATAACCTTTGTAACTTGTTAAGAAAATAAACATTAATTTTATTATTGGGAAAATTTTTGGGATCCGATGTCCCACTGGGTTACAAATTAATTGAAAAGTTGCGAAATTAATTGAACGCCAGTTAATTATAACAGTGGAATAATTTAATTAAGTTTAAAATGTATTATGGATGCTAAATCCGAAATAAAATGGTACTTATTTATAATTATATTCCTTCTCATTCTCGTTTATTGCTACAAATATTTCCACAATTTCAATTGAAAACTTATGTTCTTTTTATTTTATTTTACTTAGTCGTATATCTTTGACGAAACTTTGCTGATCAATTGGGCATTATATTAAATCAATATTAAGGCGGCTCTTCACGTTGGCCAACATAGTGGCAAATGTGTTGACAAAGATATTAGCAAAGAGTTTGTGATGTAACATCGTCCTCACGTTGGAAGGTCGTTCAGTTTGCTTCGGTTCAGGTCAATGTGCGGACGAATTTATTTAAATAGATATTGAGGTGCTAAAGGCTGCTGCAGTTTATTTATTTACAGCATTGTTACTACTTAAATTTGTATTAGAAAAGGGTGATCAAAATGAAATGAAAAAATAGAAATTTTATTTCTTCTGTTCCACAAATAATTTTCGGCTTGGTAGATCTCTATAAAGCAAAAAGTTTCTTCATTGGTCATTGTTACTACCATTTTGTAGACACTAGTTACGATGCGTGAATATAAAATTTAAATCAGGTGCGTGCGATCACCCTGGTAGCGCAAACTAAACGTTCGCCCAACCTGTGGATGCGGCGGCCAATACTCTGCCACAACCCTTTGATTGTTTTTAAAAAAACCAACACCACACGGATATCCCGCGAACTTGTGGGCCATCATTCCAATACATACCAACCCGCTCTACACGATGGCCATCGATATTGGCCAACACATTCGTCACTATATTGGCCTACGTGAGGAGCCGTGTTCGGGATTTGTTGCTTAAATAATATGATAAAAAATAAAGTTAAATAATATGAGCAAATACAATCTGATGATTATATTCACGGCTGCATTGCAACTAATTTGGCATTCCTTCGTTCTATTCCGAATTCAGCATACTATCTGGCAGAAAGGAAAACAGATCTTTTTGCTATGATTCGTCAATACAGTAAACCAACTGTTTTCTTTACCATAAGTTCTAATGAAATTGGATGGCCTAAATTATTACAATTGTTGCATAATTTGAAAAATAATGCGAAAATATCAGTTGAAGAGGCTGCAGATTTGCATTTTATTGAGAAAAGCACTCTTATTAATGAAGATGCCGTAACATGTGCTATATACTTCAATAAGTTAGTCGAAATTATTTTAAAAATAGTACAATCAAAAAGGCACAGTCCTTTAAAAAAATACAGGCTTTTGCATTACTTTAAAAGAATTGAATTTCAACATCGAGGTAGTCCACATGCGCATATTTTAGCTTGGTTAGATAATGCCCCAGAAGACGCCCTTAATAGAGATTATAATGAAGCTATCGATCTTATCGATTTTCTGGTATCAGTATCTGCTGCCGAGGCTTCTGGTGATATCCGATTACAAACTCATAAGCATACTTTTACTTGCTATAAAGGTACAGCATCGAGACGACAACAAAAATGTAGATTTGACGATCCGTTTATGCCAGTTAAGAAAACCATGATTCTGACGCCTATAACAAATACAAAAAATGGTTTCCAACAGTACCAGACTAAATATAATTCAATCCAAAAAAACTTGGAAAAATACGAATACAATGGTTTTCAATCTTTTTACGATGAAAATAGGTAATATTGCTTCAGATGACGAATATGTCAACATTATTCGAGCAGGAATTAATAGACCACGCGTTTTTCCGAAACGTGAACCATGTGAAAAATGGAATAATCCATTTAATCCCTTCATATTCAACGTTGTCAGATCCAACACTGATTTCCAATTTATAACTGAAGAATATTCTTGTGCAGCTTACGTGCTCGAATATGTTAACAAAACTAACAGAGGTGTTAGCAATTTACAAAGACAAATAATTGGAATAATGGATGAACATCCTGAGTTTAATTTATTTGACATTACTAAAAATATTAGCATTAATCTTTTGAACCACACTGAGATGACGAGTCAAGAGGCTGCATGGTATTTATTGAGAGAACCAATGTCAAAAAGTTTAACTGTTATTGTCTATATACCAACCATTTGGCCAGTCGAAAAGCATAGAATAAAGAAGACAATGAAAGAATTAAGTGAACTAGAAGATGATTCCACCGACATATAGAAGGAAAATTGGTTCGATAAGTATGAGAAGAGACCTGAAGATTTAGCGGATATTTCTATTGCTCAATTTGTTGCTAAATATTATAAAAATAACAAGGGTGACTATGTACTCAGGGAAGAACCAAAAGTTATACGATATCGTAATTATGATATGGGTACAGACTACAATGAGTATCGGAGAGAAATGGTTACTTTGCACCTTCCGTTTCGTCATGAAGAATCGGAAATTCTTGCAGAATCGCGATATCTTCAGTTATACGAAGAAAATGAGGCACTTATTCTAGATCGAAGAAAAGAGTTCGAATCAAATCTTGACATCGAAAAAACATTGGAAATCTGCAGGGAGTTATGTCGTGAATATGTTTCCGATGATGGAGAGGAGATAAACGACGTCGTTAGTAGAATTCCTAATGAAAACCCATTTGCTGAATTATATCACAATCCAAACGCAGATTTAAATGATGATTTACGCCTTGCGTTGTTTGATAAGCTAGGATCAATTGCTAAAAAGAAAGATAATATCTTACCTTATCCAGAATTTTATGGGCTTATGCGCAAAGCGAACGAGGAACAGCGAGAAATTTTGTTTCACACTATACATCATTCAATATCAAACAACGAGCCAATGCAAAAACCATTGTTGATATATTTGACTGGTCCAGCTGGTAGTGGCAAAACATTTGTAATAAAAGCACTCATGGAGATTTATAATAGATTTTCCGACACGGATGGAATTTTCAACGCATACATTGCTTGTGCTTCAACTGGAAAAGCTGCTACAGCCATAGGTGGAACAACGGTGCATAATGCTTTAAGTATATCACTCTCAAGGCTATTGCCACTCAACATCGAAAAAGCTCATCAATACAGAGCGCTATTTGAGTTAATTAAGGTTATTATCATTGACGAAGTAAGCATGGTTTCATCAGAATTATTAGAACAAATTAATGAACGTTTGAAGCATATCACTGGCTTGTTTACAAAAGCTTTTGGTGGATTGGACGAGATCCTTTTCGGAGATTAGCGCCAATTACCCCCTGTAAACGCCACACCGATCTTCAAGCAAATTAAAAAAAATTAATGGTGGATCAATTTGGCGAAAATTTCATCAATTCGAACTCAAGCACGTAATGCGCCAAGAAAGTAGACTCTTTTCTGCCATTTTAACAAATATCGGTGATGGGTTCATTCTAACAGAAGAATAATTAAATATGATAGAATCCAGATTTGTACCTAAAGAACACGCAAAATCAGAATGTCCGGAAGGAACTAGACTTATGTTTACGAATAATAAAGTTAACGATTACAACAGTACAATTTTGAACAGTTTTGAAAATAAAATTGTTTCATTGGCATCGGATGTTTTCGTTGGTTGTCATAATGTAGAGCAAGAAAATTTTGTAAGGCAGAAGTTACATAAAATGAAACCTGACGAGACTATAAACATAGATGTCGCTGATGGTTTATCTAATGGCACTGTAGGAAAATCACTACTCATAAAATATGATAAATATGATGAAATCACAAGACTTTAGTTCAAATTCTCAAAATCCATTGGTCAAAAAGCACGCTTGAAAATCCACAAAGACGCTGTTCCAATTTCTTTACAATCGTCGTCAATACCACTCAACAAAAATAAAACTATAGTGGCAAAAAGAAAACATTTTCCACTGATTTCGGCTTTGGCAATGACAATTCACAAATCCCAAGGAGGTACTTACGATGCTATTGTTTATGAATACAATCGTTATCATTCAAGAAAATCGGTGTACGTTGCGTTATCAAGAGTAACTAGTATAGAAGGTTTGTTCTTAGTTACTGAAGAAAACGCAAGGACGAGCTGGAAATTTTATCATGGCAGAGTAGGAAACGCACAAGTGGAAGATTCAAACGCAACAAAAAATCAAAAGAGATCAACAACTCATCGAGAAGATTTATCAATTGAATTGAAACGATTACGTGAAAATCCTTTGCAAACCTTCACCAAAACACTTCTAGATTTTATTTCTAAGAATAATAGATTATCTATTTTTTCATTCAATTGTCAAAATTTACGTGCGCATGTAGATGATCTAGCAATTGACGCTCTTGTTAAAAAGATGAATGTGTTAATTTTATCAGAAACTCATATGGGTAACGATGAAATAATTGACATTCCGAATTTCAACTTTGTTGCGAGTTTCAGAAGAAATAATCGTCCAGCGGGAGGAGTAGCTATTTATCAAAATATGAACACATTTCATCATTGCACAAATTATATGGATTTGCATGTGAAATACAATAGCATGTTTAATGCTACTGTTTCAGATATCGGTGATATTTGTATAAGTCGCTGCCACTCTGGTGATAATCAGTTCATTATTTTGGTTGCTGTTTACATCTCCCAGATAAGTCATTGCGTGCTACACGAGACTTCTTGTACGAACATTTATTCATTTATTCTCATGAATTCAAAAATAAAATTGGAATAATCTTTGATGAATTGCCAATGATTTTGAGTGGAGATTTCAACATAAACTTTGCAGACGATAAAAATCAATTATTAGTTGAATTTTTAAATAATGAATTTGGTTTAACTATGTCAAATGATCGCAATCTTAGCACAACGAAATACAAAACTACTATTGATGCGGTCTTTATTAGACATTTAAATAGATTCGAATCAAAACTGTTCGTTTCTTACTTCAACTATCATAAACCGATCGTCTCAGTTTTAGCGATGATGGTTCTGGTAATAATGATGGTGAAAAAGTCGTCGAAATTATGGATGGAAGTTGATTTTTCTGAGAGATAACCTATTTAATGCATTATAAATTGTCATGTTTGTGTACGATAGCACAATAAATAAACATTGTATTCTACCACATAAATGATAGTACTTTTATACTGATAATTAAAGCAATTTGTGCAAAATTATTCCCCATCCATTCCAAAATATCAAAAATGCACAACGTTAATATTAGACCTGCAAGACATCTTCAGGCTGTTCAATGAGACCGACCCTGATGACATCCCAACTTTCGTCGCGCGTGATCTCAACAAGCTGTCTCCCGTGACGTTCGATCACGTAGACGTCACCAGATTGTTGAAAGACATCACCACGTTGAGAGCTGATATTACCGACATCCGTTCCAAATTTGAGGAACCAGAACAAGCCGCAACAGAGCTGAGGAACGAAGTCAATATGTTGCGCAACATAATTGCAACATCTGCAAATTCACCGGCGTCGTAGAATGTGAATACGACACGCGGTAACCGTAATAGTAGTCATATTTCTCCGATGATTGCGACTCCGTCACGCGATACCGTCTGTCAGCGGGTTGATGACCGAGAAACTAGGGTGACCTCTGTCGTCATTGCATCACCACCTCAACCCTTGACTGAACCCATTGGTACTCCTCCGCCGAAGCCAACCTCAAAACAAGGGAAGACGTTTGCGGATGTTGCCCGAAAATCTCTACAACCGGCACCCTCTTGTGGTCGAAAGCGGAAGAATGTGGAAATAAAACCAGTGGTGACCCAAGACAAGATTGATAAGGACGGGTTTACTCTTGTTGAGAAGAGACGTCGGTCGCGACCCGTCTGTAACCAGCGTGGGATCGCGAAAATAAACGCGAGTACAACTCTGCGTGCTGTGGAGCCAACCATACAACTCTACATCTCCCGTTTGGACAAAAGTACGTCGGGAGAAGACGTCCTGCGCTTCTTGGAAGAACGAAGCCGATGCCGCATTGAGGATCCGATCTCTTTACATTTGCAGCGTCTGGAGTCTAATAGGTCAACGAACTTCAAATCCTACGTACTCCAGGTTCCTGCAAAACATAAAGAGACATTCCTCGCTCCCGATTTCTGGCCCTCTGGGGTAGTGTTTCGCCGATACAGGGACGCGCCAAAGAAAAAAGTTCCCTAAATAGTGTTAAGTTATGTCTATATTTAATATATATTTTTAGGTTAAGGTATATATTACTATGGGCCAATGTTCTTAATTTTTAAGTCCTTGATGCCTGAAATAAAGTTATTGTATTGTATTGTATTGTAATATTCAAGTTTTCACTTCTGCCGGCACTCCTGGAGTGCAACCCGTCGTTTTTTTTCTTTTCCTTCTCTGAAAAACGGAGATTATTTATTATTATCTTATTTCATTTATTTTCATGCGAAATTATTTGTTTGGTAAACCTACACCGCCTACCTACACCTGCAACGCTCCACCTTATTGTGATGTTATGAAAATATAGGTTAATGCTATAAAGTATAAACATATTACAAATATTACATCTAAGTATAATGTGTTAGTACATATGTATCTATATTAATAATTTCGTCAAGCAGTACAGTAGAATCGATCGAAACCTAATCTTAATAATAAAATTATATTAATTAATAAATGAAAATTTATTAAACCTAACCTAACCTGAATAATAAAATGAAATTATATTAATTATGAAATGAACATTAAATTAAATTTTCATCTAGTATATTTATAAAGTACTCACTCATTTTCTTTCGCTATTTCTTCGTCACTTTTTTCATTAATAGATGCAATTTGTTCAATTTCCATATTACAAACACTTTATATACACGAATTTTACGAATACATAGCAGTGTGGCAACTACACAGACGGTCGAGCCATCAGATGTCACCATCCATGGATGCGCGTGGCACGCTGTAACATAAACACACACGAACGTTCGCGCAAGCGTCCTGCGCCGCCTAAACGAAACAGCAGGCGCAGGCATACATTTTCGCCGCGCCTTAGAAAGAGAGGGGGATACTTCTTCTCCTACACCGCGCTGGCTGTCTACTCTCCGTCCGTCTTACGAATTTTCGATCAGGTCACGTGTCCTGACGTGAGTTTAACATTTTTTACCCATTACAAAAAAAAGTGCACAACGTCGCTAAAGAAATTTTCTCTACAAAAAACATAATACGTCATTAATATTACGTCGAACAGATAAAGGAGTAAAGTGATATCGTTTTGGCAGAATCGCTGGAGGATCTAAGCACACTACTCAATGACCTCAATAGTGCCTCCCAACTGACAGATCTTAAGATGAACATGGACAAAACAAAGATCATGTGTAACGTCCATGTCACACCTATGCCGGTAGTTGTTGGGAGCACTAAGCTCGAAGTTGTTGACGAGTATAGTCCGACTAAGTAAGACCAACTTCGACTGAGATGTCAATCGACGGATTCAACTAGACTGGGCAATGTTTGGAAAATTACGACACATCTTCCCATCAGATATACCTCTAAAATTAAAAACGAGATTGTACAACTAGTGCGTGTTGCCAGTGATAATCTATGGATCTGAGACGTGGTCTTTTACTTCTGCCCGTATGAGGAAGGTCAAGGTCGCTCAGCGAGCTATGGAGAAGGCTATACTCGGGTATTCTCTGCGTGATAAACTTAGTAATGAGGATATCCGCAGTGAGGATAACCATAGCGACCCACATAGCCCAACAGATCAGTATGCTGAAGTTGCAATGGGCTGGCCATATAGCCCGAAGAACCGACAACCGATGGGGAAGAAAGTTTCTCGAGTGGCAGCCTCGTATCGGTAGGCGAAGTATAGGGCGACCCTCCACTAGATGGAGTGACGACCTCGTAAGACATGCAGAAAGTCGATGGATACAGGTGGCTCAGGACCGTGCTTTGTGGCATTCCTTCGGGGAGCAGCAGTTCAGCAGTGGACTTGTGAAGGGTTGTAATGATGATGAGGTATATATTTTATTCTATCTTATTTATATTATTTTTTGAAGTATTTATGTAACTCAAAAATAATAATAACTGAAAAACAATTTTAGTCTAAATATTTTTAGATCATTCCGTAATTCTAATAATGATGTTTAAACGTGAAGCACGCTACGTATGGCTGAACACAGTTATCTTGGCGAGAGCACTTACAAAACCCTGTGTAACGATCAAACAGAGATTTAATAAACGTTATAGTTTTTCTCACGCAACGCGAATAAAACGCCACTGCTGTTCGGATATTACTTCCGATAGTATGTGTAATGTTTTTTTGCTTTAACCGAGTTCAAAAAACGAGAACGTTCCATATTCAATGCGTATGTTTTAATATGATTTCACTAATTTTCGGAAACATCTTAATCAATTATTCTTTTCTATATTTTTTATAGGATAAGGGTTAAGGTAAGGCAGCCATGCTGCAGCTATATTAGTAGTATAGTTGTACCACGAATGGGTCGGCTTGACCTGGGAAGGACCACGCTCTTATAGAACACCAGCGTAAAATATCAATGCTGGTGTTTCTTATGGTGAGTGTAGAGAACCGGAGACCCTTTTTACTGGTAACAAGGCATTCCATCATAGTCCTCACGGGTGACAACGCTCGATTCGCAAACAAGGTTAGATGTAGATGTCTATGGGTCACAGTAACCACTTACAATCAGGTGGACTGTGTGCTCGTTGGTCATCCTATCCAATAAAAAAAAAGTTCGTTCGTTTTCTCCATCAGCCAGTACAAGTCCACATACTGAACTTGGGCATCTTCCTTATAAGGAGAATGTGCCTTAATTGCCTTGTTGAGCTGGTGGACTGGCGTTTCCAGTACCAAATGTCCGCATCAATGACGCTGCCGTAATAATTTCGAAAATAACCGAGATGGTTACTTTCTAAATTTTTTTTATAGGAGAGGGGGCAAAGGAGCGTGTGGCCCACCTAACGGTAAGTGACTACCGCCGCCCATAAACAACTGCACTACCAGGGGAATTGCTATATTTGCTATAACTTACTATAAGAGTAAAACCAAGAGTAATAAAATCTGATAATGGCTTTTTCTGTCTACATTCAATTTATAAACACAGCCTACTAAGGGCTCGCTCCTCCCAGTGAGCTTCTGACGTGGTAGCACTCGGCAAACTTCAATATTGAAATAATGATGTTTATTTTTTTATTTTAACAAGTCAGTGATACCAAGATTGATGCCAATAGTTCAAAGCTGATGTTAGCACGGGTTAACTTTGACATCAGAACGTCGAATACAGCAGCTCTCTCGTAATCAAGGGTACTGCAAAGCACACTAAACATTAAAATATTTTTTATACAAAAGTGACATAGAAGCATACAGTTCACCCGTTGGTAAGTGGATGCTATAACCCATAGACGTCTACAGTAAAAAGGTTCTTCGGTTCTCTACTCTCGCCATACGAAACACAGCAGCATTAGGCTGGTATTCCGTGAGAGCATGTTCCTTTCCCTCGCCCCCATTCGTGCTACAACCATAATATAGCTGCAACGTCGCTCTACCGTGTATAAACGTTTTAGTCTTTTTTTTATTTTGTTAAAGATATTGTAAAATTCAATATTATGTAAATAAATAAAAACATTACAGCAATTTGAAAAAAACCGTTACATATGACTTTATAGTTTTAATTTGTTTGTCACGTCACGGTGTGATTGGTTTAGTATAATATATGGTCATCGGCCGAAATAGCTCAGTTGGGAGAGCGTTAGACTGAAGATCTGGTTCGATCCCGGGTTTCGGCAACGTCATTTCATTTTTTAATGTGTTTTTAGCCTAGTCTATATATAATCATTAGTGCGTCTGTTAGTGAACATGTAATTTCAGATTGACGACCGATTGAGATAGATTCACTTAAAAAATATTAGCTACACCTACTGGGATCCGGTGGCGATGGATATAATATTATCTAGTAGCTAGTACTATTATATAATATTATATATCTGTATATTAATATTATATATCTATACATAGAACCATAGTGACCGCCATACGCCAATGGATTAGTAA